TGTCCTGCCGGCCACCACCCACCTCAGGGCCACCTCCTGGCCCTGGGACAGCACCAGCGTCCCCTTGGCGAGGAAGAAGAGCAGGACCTTGCAGGCGTTGAGGGGCAACCAGGAGCAGAGGAAGGCGGTGACGATGGTGACAATGGCACGGTGGGACCTGCGGACCCCCCTGCCCAGCCGGACGTGGCGCTGGAGCCGGCAGTAGATGGAGCAGTAGCAGAAGGAGATGATCCCCAAGGGCAGGAGGAAGGTGAGGAAGACCATGGCCAAGCTGAAGTCCTCTCCATCTTCATCCCAGCAGTCTTCCCCATCCAGCTGCCGGTACACCAGGGAAGGGGCACCCAGGAGGAGGGAAACCACCCAGATGACCCCACAGGTGACACGGACATGCCAGCGGGGCCCTGTCACCTTGGTGTCCAGCACCTTCCTGATGACCAGGTAACGCTCCACGCTGAGGGCGGTGAGGAAGAGGATGCTGGAGCAGCGGTTGATGGCGATGATGTAGCTGCTGAGCTTGCAGAGCCCCTCGCCCAGCACCCAGCGGTGGCCCCGCGCCCCTGCCAGCACCCAGAGGGGCAGGGTGCACACGAAGATGACATCTGCCACCGCCAGGTTCAGCACAAACGTGTCCACCACCCTCTTGCCCCCGCTCCTCTGGGCCATCAGCGCGATGACGAAGAGGTTCCCCACCAGGCCGAGGAGGAAGATGAAGGAGTAAAGGGTGGGGATGAAGACGGTGGTGAAGAAGACCTCCCAGCTGGAGGGGAGCTCCTGGTTGCCCGTCACGTTGGTCACCGGTGGGTAATCGTAGTCGGCCGAGCCCGGGAGCTCCTCGGGAGCCATGGGGGTGCCCGGGTGCCCTCCCCAGTGCCCAGGGTGGTGCTGGCCGCACCCACTGGTGGTTGGGTTGTTGATTTGAGGTTCTTAAAAACAAGGTCTGGGACTTCCTTCTCAACGGGTGGAAGGGGCTGGAGGTGGCAACAGGAAAAAAAACAAAACAACCCAAAAAGACCGAAGAAAATGCCACCAGAAGAAAGAAAAGCCCCCCCCCAAAAAGAGGTGGGGAGGGAGGGAGATGAGGAGGGGAGAGGAAGGCTCCATGGCATGGCTGAAGCTCTTGGGTGGCCACCAAGCTGGATGGTGGGACCATCCCCAGCCCCAGCCTCTGGCTGTGCTCAACCAGGGCAGCTCAACCCAACCGGGGCCACCGCGTCCCCGTCCCCGTCCCCCTCACATTTGCATCCAGACAACCTGCTGGAAACTTTTATTTCCCGGTGCTGTTGTGCTGGGGGGAGGTGGGTGCCCCCCCCATGTCCCCCCTCCCCCGCTCTGCCAGCTCATTACACTCCCGGCACTTCAGTTCTCACCACGCTGGGGACACCGAGGCAGTGGCACCTGCCACCAGCCCCGACCACGAGCTCTCCCAGAATGACAGTGCCGGGCACAGGTTCCCAGCACTGGGATGTGCTGGGGTCTGCCCGGTGGGGGTCCCAGGGGGGTCCCAGGGGGTCCTGCTCAGGTCTGCCGGGCACTGGGCTCCACCAGCTGCAGCTTCCTCAGGCCATCCCGCGCCAGCAGGAACTCGGGACGAGGCTCCGGCTCCGGCTCCACTGGCACTGCCTCCTCCTGCTGGGGGGGGTCCTGGTTGGGGGCCACTTGGGTGGCCCCACAGCCTGGGCACCTCCTGAGCTGGGTGTCCCAGCAAGCCCAGCTCCATCAGCTGTCCCCATGACCTGAAACATCTCCTGATCTGGATAGGGCCGGCGCCCCCTCCCACCAGCCCCGACCACGAGCTCTCCCAGAATGACAGTGCCGGGCACAGGTTCCCAGCACTGGGATGTGCTGGGGTCTGCCCGGTGGGGGTCCCAGGGGGGTCCCAGGGGGTCCTGCTCAGGTCTGCCGGGCACTGGGCTCCACCAGCTGCAGCTTCCTCAGGCCATCCCGCGCCAGCAGGAACTCGGGACGAGGCTCCGGCTCCGGCTCCGCTGGCACTGCCTCCTCCTGCTGGGGGGGGTCCTGGTTGGGGGCCACTTGGGTGTCCCCACAGCCTGGGCACCTCCTGAGCTGGGTGTCCCAGCAAGCCCAGCTCCATCAGCTGTCCCCATGACCTGAAACATCTCCTGATCTGGATGCCACGTCAACCCCAGCTCTATCAGCCACCCCCGAGGTTCAAGGGGGGATCTTCACCCTCATCTCCACCAGTTGTCCCCACAACCTGAGCACCTCCTGACCTGGGTGTCCCATCAACTCCAGTTCCATCAGCCATCCTCCAGATCCAGAGGGGATCCCCAACCCCAGCTCCATCAGCCATATCAATGACCTGGAACATCTCCCGGTCTGGATGTCCCATCAATTCTGGCTCTATCAGCCACCCCCAAGATCCAAGGGGGGATCCTCAACCTCATCTCCATCAGTTGCCTCCTGACCCAGGTGTCCCATCAACCCCAACTCCATCTGTTGTCCCTATGACCTGATCTCCTGATCTGGATGTCCCCATGACCTGGCCACCCTTGGCCACCCCTTGTCCTGTCCCTCCAGCACAGCCTCCCCCCCAGGTCCAGCCTCTCCTGGCTGTCCCTCCACCCAAGTGTCCCCACAGCCCCACCACCACCCAGCCCTGCCAGGACCCAGCCCTGCCTCCCCAGATGTCCCCGTGGGGTGGCCTCTCTTGGCCACCTCCTGCATCTGTGGGGCAATGAGGAGTGGATGGGGCTGGAGGGGATGGGCAGGGGG